CTCTTGAATATATTTTAAGAAAAATGGGGTAGCACCTTCTCCACCCTTGTCCCCTTTTTATAAATGAGGAAGCTGTGACTCAGAAAGGTTCTGTTTTGTTCAAAACATTAAGGGAGTCAGGCCTTGGCATCCAGTTTCTCACTTCAGGCCCAATATTTTTCCCACTATTGCCAGGTGAGCCTGCATTGAACCTCAGTACGGCATAACTCACACTTTACAACTTGGCCACCTTTGTGAATTTTAATTTAAATACTTTGAGTCACCTCAGTGGGGAAATTTATTGGAACCCTATTTTCCTATGACCTGCCAATAGCAAAGTTTAAGACTCACTTTAACAAACTACGTTACACTCCAAAGGGACTTCAACCCAATTGCTGCTACTTTTTGGGGTCTGTGCCAGACCTAGGGGAAAGGGTTTAGGAACAGATTTATACCCCTGTGAGGGTTCCCTTTGGGGAAGAGTCCTATAGACGAATACATCATATTTGGGTGGCGGATCATGCCCAGGGACAACTGTGGAAAGATGCTCTTTCTGATAGACCTGCAGGATCAAACTGTCTTGAGGTGGCAAAAGGGAAGGCTTCTTACAAATTATAGACAATTTGTTTGCATCCTCTGCCTGCCACTTCCTAGTCATATGATGTAGAACAAATGTTTTAACATCCCAGAATCAAGGTTTCTGTGGTCTGAAATGGGGATGGCGATTATCGGCCAGGATAGTATAAGGATTCTAGAGATTCCAGAGATGAAGTTCTGGGCACAGTGTAAAGTCCCATCTAAGTTCATGCTGCTATCTCAGCCCTCAGGTGTACTAACAAGAGTAATGTTAGTTGCTTTAATAAACAAATCTGAATGTTCCAATGGCTTCAATATAATAAAACTTTACCCCTCACTCACCCACCTATCTATGTGGGTGTTCCTGGTCCCTAGCAAGCCTTCCCTATGGTGAGTCAAGGACCTATGACTCCTACCTGTGGCTTCTTCTCTCTAGGATAAAAAAGAGGGTGGGAAAGGCATTCCTTGGCCAAGAGCGAGACACATCACTTCTGCTCATTGGTGAGAAGTGGTCACAGAAGCAAGGGTGATGAGAAATGGGAGCACTGACATGGCACCCCATGTGCCAGTGACAATTGGATGTTATGGAAGGGGAGTGGAAATCTCTGCCCAATGTGGGGCAATACTGAGGTGGTATTGGGCTTGGGACCAGGCGGTTGGATTTATAGTGGTGAAAACAACACTTCAGATTCACATTTCTTTCCTCTCAGCTTTTTCTAGGGCTCTGGCAGATCCTGCCCCATGTGGAACTTGGGCTCTGAGCAAAAAAACATCTGTGGTTGGAAATCGGGGCTGGTGATTCAAGCTTTTGTGGGACGTGGAGAGGATGCCCTGAGCCCTTTGCTCAACAAACAGCTCTCTCCTGCGAGGAGGAGAGAGGCCATCTGTCTGACTGCTTTGACACTTTTACCCAGTGACCTTCAGGGCTGCAGACATCTTCCCGGTAAGTTAGAGTGAGCTGGGCACACACTGTCCTTGGTTTGACTCACTAAAGGTCTGGGTGAGAAGGCAAAAGTAGACAAACAGGCACCGAGGGCTTTGCCACCCCAGCACTGTGCCATGTAACTAGACCTGTGTCTGCTTCAGAGCCAGCGGCTGAGCCTGGACGTGGGTGGGAATCGGAGCCTTGATTGCTAATGCCAGAGCCTGTGACTGTGGAGGACTGTGTTCAAAGGGGGCATGGTGCCCACAGCCAGGGCACCGGGTGAGGCAGGATGGTGGGCAGAGGAGAATACAGCTTTGGAACAACACACAACTGTTTTCTACCACTTACTAAGCTTTGTGACCTTGAATAAAAGTCACTTATTCTTTCTATGGCTCTGTTTCCCTTTCTGTAAAATTGGCATAATGCTATGGACCTCAAATGCTTTAGGACAGTGCCAGCACATAGCCATGTTTTTCTCCTCTGCCTGCCACTTCCTAGCCATATGATGTGGAACAGTTCCTTCCACGTAAAGGAGAGGAATCTGGTATCACTTTGAGGTCATTAATGTGGATACTAGTCAAATGCCACCATTTTTTGAGCTTGTACATGTCTTAGTCCTCACAGTAACTGTGAAATATAGCATTCTTCCCATGTGTAGATTTGAACACAGGTCCCACCATGGAATTAGGAAGGGATGCTGCTAGATGTGGAGATCTGTAGCTCTGCTGGCATGACACAGTCAAGAAGGGAGTTGCCCAAAGGCAGCAAGGATGCTGGGCCGATGAAGACAAAGGCTGTCTATCCATCTCAGGCACACTGGGAAGGAGTGCACCCGCTCCTGGTTCGTCCTTACATCTCTAAGTCAGTGTTAGTCCTAAGACAGTTGTTGCCAACATCCCTAATGTGAATGCTGTTGGTTTAGAAATAGTACACACAGCTTTTGGGCAAAGCAGAATAACATGCAGGAGAAGGGAAGAGCTGGGCACCTCTGAACTGTCAATGGCTGTGTCTGTCCCTTTACTTAGCACAGATGGGACTCAGGACAAAATCTCCCTCAAGCAGTGGGGCTGGGGGGGGGGGTAAAAAGGGGAGGGGTATATGACCGCCCTCACTCTACTTGCTTTTCAATCAATGTGCACATCAGGATAGATATTATGTGAGATGTGTACTCCATGTGTTTTGAATGCCCTGGTTAGTTTTTTGTTTTTGTTTTTTGGGTTTTTTTTGCCCAAACTTTGCAAAAACAATAACAATAGCCAAACTCCCAAAGCCAAGCCAATATCACATGAGCAGTTTTTCTGTTTGATGAGCTTTAAGCTTGCCGGCTCTTTTTGGGAAAAGACTTGTTGGTTATGTAGCTTGACATTGAGAGGGTCAGGACCACCTCTGCACATGGACAAGGGAACGCCTGCATCGCTTCTCTGTCTGCCCTCGTCCATCCTTGGCAGCAGCAGGAACTGGGTCTCCTGCGCTTCCCATAGTTGTCCCATTTGTTTCACAAATGCTTGCTAACACCTGGGCTGTGTTCGGGGACGAAATCCACACATGTGAGCCAGATGTGAGCTGTCCTTCAATTCTCACTCTGCCCCTTCACGTCCTCCATCCTTCCCCCCCGCCTCCGTCCCCCCCCCCCCCCCCCCCCCCCCCCGCCAGTGCAGAGAAGGCTCCCAGCACCTCTTCACTGAAGATTCCTAAGGGGCGATGGAGGACGAGATGGCTTCACACATCCTGGAGCAAACAATTTACAACATTCTCTTGAGCTCTTTCCATCTCTCAGAGTTGGTTCTGGGACATGGCTATTGCCAGGGTCATGGTTTCCTGCTTTCCCTTTCCCCAGGCTTTCTGATCCCAGTTTGCTCCATTCCAGTCCCCAATAATCCACCCCCCCCTCTCCCACCCATGTTCAGCCCTCTCTCTCTTTTTATTTTTTATTTTTTTGCCTTTGAAATTGTCTTTATTTCTTACCATTCCTTTAATATCATCCATCCCAGGATTCAGCGGCCAGGCCCAGAGCAGCAGGTGCCAGGCTGGGAGCGGCCAGGCCAGGAGCGGCCGGGCCCAGAGCAACCGGGCCCAGAGCAGCAGGGTCAGGTGCGGCCAGGCCCGGAGCAGCAGCTGCCAGGCTGGGAGCGGCCAGGCCAAGAGTAGCCGGGCCGGAGCAACTGGGCCCAGAGCAGCTGGGTTGGGTGTGGCCAGGCCCGGAGCAGCAGCAGCCACGCCTGGAGCAGCCAGGTCGGGAGCGGCAGTGGCCAGACCAGGAGCAGCTGTTTGTGGAACGGACCAGAGCAACAGAGGCCAGGCCCGAAGCAGCCAGGCCCGGAACAGCTTGCTCCTTGCCTGCCTCCACCCCAAGGCTGCCTCTCAGACATGGCTGGAAACTTTTGGAGGAACTTGAGGGTCTGCTGAATCAAATGAGGAAGGTTTAGATCTGGATGTGTTGAGTTAGTATAGCGCTGGGGTGTTGATCTGTGAGTGCCTTGTGTGGGGCGTGGATGAGGTTGGTTGATCTATTTGGAAATGTCTTTTGTGTGGGGTGTATCCTTGGGCATGTGTTATTGGGAGGTGTTATTGATTTGAGAAAATGCTAAGTAACTGATTTACTATCTGAAAAATTTAAAGTTCTGAAAGTTTAAGGTCTCTTGCCAAAAAGAGGTTTTAAAGCTAACACCTTAATTTTAATGGAGAAAGGGAATGACAAGCCCTTCCCACCCATAACAGGTAATCCAATTCCAACCAGCAGCTATGTTTAAACACTGTGTCCATTTATAATACACTTGAATGGCTACACCTTTTGATAGCCTAAGGGCAAGTTTACATGTAAACAAGTTTGCTCTCAATTCCCAGGGCAGAAAAAAAAATCAAGGTTTAAAATTATTAGATTTTAAAATTTATTCTTAGAAGTGTTAAAGTTTATTAATTAAAAACAACAACAACAACAAAAGGAGATTGAAAAACCTGATGAACAATAATAGCGGTTCATTGTAGTAGAGTCGGTGATATGGGAGGGGAGTGGACTGACTGTTCTGTGGGGGGGGAAGGGAGGGAGGAAGAGACTGAACATAAACTGTGCACTTATGGATGAGGACAATGGGGGGTGGGGAAGGGTAGGAGGGTGGGGTGGGAACCTGGTGGAGGGGGGAAGAAATGAGGAACCTTTGTAATAATATGAACAATAAAGATTGATTAATAAATAAATAAATAAATAAATAAATAAAATAAAATCATCCATCCCAGGATTCACTCCCACACAAGAAGCTCAAGCCCCAATTCTGTCCCCTCCCCACGCAAATGAGATTCATGTTTCTGATTGTAGGACACGTTGCCTTTGAGGTTCCATGAACTCCCAGTCCTTTGCCCCTGCAACCCTGTTTCCTGGCTGTGTCCCTCCCTTTCCCTATTCACACTGTGCATGAAACTGAAACCCCTTTCCAAGGTTTCAGCTTCCAAAGGCCCAGAAAGAAGCCTTTGCTGGGTGCACCCACTGAGCAGGGTCCATACAGGGCACAGCATGGGCTCCCAGTCATGAAAATTCAACGTCATAAAACTCGATGGAGCCGCTGTCGGTGGCAAGCTTGATGGTCCTGGGCTGTCCTAACTCCCTCAGAATCCCCTTCAGCTCAGCCTGGACCTGGGCGAGTCTGTCCTGGTTGACAGTGTCCTGGGCCGTGTAACACTCCTGGGGGACCGGGTAATGCTCATATTCTAAGCTGCGCAGCCCGGTTGTGTGGTGCAGCAACTTCTCCACCGTGGCCACAGAGAGGCGGTTCTTTATGATGGTGAACTCTCTCAGCTGGTGACAGTTGCTCAGGACAGGCAGGATGGCTTCCACTTGAGAGTCCACCATGGCACAGTTCTCGAGGTGCAGTACCTGGAGGGTGGGTGCCAATGCCTCCAGCAGAGATCGGAGGGGCTCAGGACTAAAATCAGCGAGGTTGGCACAATACAGACGCAGGGACTTCAGCTGCCTGAGTTTTGGGCACTGGAACAGGTGTTCCAGGTCTGAATGGGTAAGGTGTCCGCAATGTCTTATGATGAGTATTTCCAAGGGGAACTGCAGGCAACTGAGCATCTGGTGCAGACGTCCTTGGAGGAAGGAGAGGGAATTCAGGGCCAGCTCGCGGAGGTGCAGTGGGCTGAGCATCTGAGAGAAAAACTGGGAAAAGGATATCTGTTCCTCCAGCTCCTCCCCTGCCCATTCCTCTTCCCAATCCATTTCCTCTTCCTCCTCCAAATCCTGCTCATCCTCATCCTCCCAACCCTGCTCCTCATCATCCGCCCAATCCTGCTCCTCATCATCCTCCCAATCCAGTTCCTCTTCCTCCTCCCAATCCAGCTCATCTTCCTCCTCCTCCCCCTCCTCACCCAGCACTTGGATGTGTAAGAGATAGAGTTTCTGCAGGTTCCTCATCTGCCCAATATAAAGAGCAAACTTCTCCAGGGTGGTCAGGTGCCAGGTGCAGTTCAGTTCCACCTGCTGGATACAGTCCAGCTGCACCACATCCAGGAACTTCCTCGCCCTGTGGAAGGGCACCCCAGCAACCCACAACTTCCTGCAGCACAGGTGTAGCAGCTCTTTCCTCTGCTGGACCCATTGGACGACGTACATGGAAACCTTTGTCCTGTTGCTTATATTGAAGTGAAGGTCTAGGAACACCTCCATGGGAGCTAAGGGGTGCTCCATGTTGGGGCTGGACCTGTGCTCAGTCACTGGAAAAATCGGTGAGTATTCCTGGATGTTGTTTCCACACCATATTCTCCAGAAGTAAGAACCCATGTACCTTAAATCCAGCACCCGCAGTTTGCACCTCCTGGGGCGAACCTCCTGGGCAAGCAGAATGTCAAGCCCATCCAACACGGCTTTTAAAACATCGACAGGAGGTAGATCATTCAGACTCCCCAGAGGGAGGACAGTGAAGGGCCAGGCTTTCGTGATCGCTGTCAGGATTGAATAGTGTCTACCAAGGTAGGCCTGCAAGAACAGCTGCGGGAAGAGCTCAGCGGGTAGGTACTCCAGAGCTGCGATGGCCGAGGCCTGGTCCTTCAGCAGGCTCTCTGCTGCCAGCTGCACGAGTGTGGGTGGGGTGCACATGCTCATTCTCAAGGTGCTCCAAAGGAATCCTGCTGTGACTGGCTTGGCTGGGCTCAGATCTCAGGCCTGGTGGAGGACCAGTGCACTGACTGCAGAGTTGGAAGCCTCTGCAGCCCTCTCTCTTTTATGAAGTAAAACGACTCATCTCTGCCTCAACTTTGACCTCTAATCTTGTTTATGTCAACGGCATCATAAGGCTTCTCCTTATAAATGATAGCAATCTGCTAGCTCTCAGGCTCCATTTAGACCAGAACATGAACTGGGAGACCCTGCCCAGGATGTTGGTTAAGAATGGAAATTCCTGGACCTACCCCAGACGAACAGAAGCGGCATTTCTTTAAAGGAAAAGTGGTGGTCCTCAGCTCTAGCACCTATAAGCATCACGTGGAGAACATTCTTTTTAATGGCCCCCAAGTGATTTAAATACGCAGCTAGCATTTCCAATCACTGGAGTACAGGTAGCTGCATTGATGACAGGCAACACAAGTAACTTACATGCAGCTTGTATGCAGGAATTCAGAGAAGAAAAGGTAAGTTCCCTCTAGGGCTGTGGAAGGAAAGCAAGAAAGAAGCTTCCCAGAGAAGGGGAGTGGTGCTTGAAAAGCACCTGGGGGCATGGGAGGGTAGGGGGGTTATGATTGGTTGTGAACAAACAGAGGGAGAGCAGCTGGTCCAAATCACCGCTGATATTTAAAACGAGCTCATGGTGGGGCAGCTCAACGTGGAGAGTAGAGCCTACTGGGGGCAGCACAGCCATTTGCAGGAAAACCTCTCTGCTGCCTGCCCAGCCCTCCGACGCCAGGTCTTCCCGCCCAGGAGATGAGCAGCGATGCCCAGTACAGTCTCACAGGAGCGTTGGCATTTTCCTGAGCGTTCTGCCCCACGGGTGCTGTAAGTCATGAAAATATTCCAGAAATGCCAGTATTTAAACACTCAAATTCCTTCTCCAAAGGTCACCTCTCCCATTGGAAAGTGGCACCAGGTCTGTGGATGACCAGTGTGCCAGTTGGGTGTAGACATTGAGGTTTGCATTTCTAAGGTGGCAAATGCCATTAGCTCTCCAAGGGGCCCAGCCCAGCTGCAGTGCCCACCAGGTCATGGAGGCCGGAGGACACGATCAGTCATGGTCACCGTGGGGACAGGCCACGCACTGCCTTCCTCCACTCAGCGCCTGTTTGTTTAACTAACAGCAGTGAGAGTCGCCATTAAGGGCTGTTAACACTCCAAAACACTGTTTGTTGAGCCTGCCAAAGCGATGAGTGTTGACTCGGAGCACACTCTCCAGCTCAGTGTTCGCCTCTTCCCAACTCTGAGTTTACAACTCAAGTGTTTTATTTCCCAACCGTGTGAGTGAATCACACAGGCCTGTGTGCACCAAGGAAAGGAAACGGGGATTGCAGGAGACATGTGATGAATGAGGGAGTGCTTACACCAAGCACACCCCCTCTTCACATGAGAAAACATACCCCCTCTTCAACATGAACTGGCTTTCTGGGGAGCTGGCTTGTTTACTCTAACTCCACATGTGTATGTGTGTGGACGTTGCCAGTTACTGGGCTGAGGGGACCTCTCTGCTGGTGAAGTAAAGAAACAAACAAACATTAAACAAATGTTTCCGCTGCATCTGTGAGCTGCCTGCCTACCTCTGCAAAGGCACCGACCACATTCTTGTGCCTTGACATTAAATAGTTGCTTATGGCCGAAGCCGGTTTGGCTCAGTGGTGGAGCGTCGGTCTGCGGACTGAGGGGTCCCGGGTTCGATTCCGGTCAAGGGCATGTACCTTGGTTGTAGGCACATCCCCGATGGGGTGTGTGCAAGAGACAGCTGGTTGATGTTTCTCTCTCATCGATGTTTCTGGCTCTCTATCCCTCTCCCTTCCTTTCTGTAAAAAATCAATAAAATATATTTAAAAAAAAATTTAAAAAAAGTTGCTTATGACCCTCTGTGGGACTCTGGGACCCAAATGACAGACTCCTGAATCTTTTCAGAGCCTCAGAGTCAAAGCTGGGGAGAGGGCTTTAGGAGATGGTAATAGTCATATATACCATCATTTATTGTCCAAATAGGACCTTTTAAGAGCGAGAGGCTGTGCTATTGATAATCACACCAGGACTACAGGTGTTGGCTGGGTCATTTGGTCTCACTAATAAACCATCCATTTTGTTTATTGAGCTCCTACTATATGCTAGGATAGAGGTTGGCAAACTATGGGTCGAGAGCCACATTTGGTTCTTTGACTCCTTGAGTGTGGCTTTTCCACAAAATACCACGGCCTGGGCGAGTCTGTTTTGAAGGAGTGGCATTAGAAGAAGTTTAAGTTTAAAAATCTTGGTTCTCTAAAGAAATTTCAATCGTTGTACTGTTGATATTTGGCTCTGTTGACTAATGAGTTTGCTGACCACTGTGGTAGGAATTTAACTCCTTTATTAATTATTCTATTTAATCCTTAGGAATATTATTACCATTTTTTAAAAACCTTTATTGTTGCAAGTATTACATATACCCCCCTTTTCCCTCCATTGACCTCTTCTAGCCCCCCATTTTGTTTTCCCCCCAGGCCTTCACCACTCTATTGTCAGTGACCATGGGTTATGCATACATACATGCATACAAGTTATTTGGTTGATCTCTTCCCACTCACCCTCCCCTACCTTCCTTCTGGTGTTCCACAGTCTGTTTCGTGTTTCTGGAACAAAATAGATCCAGAAACACAGTGCTTCTGTGTTTCTGGATCTATTTTGTTCATTAGATTCCACATATGAGTAAGATTATGTGATACTTATCTTTCTCTGATTGGCTTATTTCACTTAATATAATGCTCTCCAGGTCCATCCAAGCTGTTGCAAATGGTAAGAGTTCCTTCTTTTTTACAATTGTGTTGTATTCCTTTGTGAAAATGTACCACAACTTTTTAATCTGCTGATGGGCACCTGGCTGTTTCCAAATCTTAGCTATGGTAAATTGTGCTGCTTTGAACATAGGGGTGTATATATTCTTTCTGATTGGTGTTTCTGACTTCTTAGGATATAGTCCTAGAAGGGGTATCAGTGGGTCAAATAGGAGTTTCCATTTTTAAATTTTTTAAAAAAGAAACTCCATACTTTTTTCCACAGTGGCTGCACCAGTCTGCATTCTCACCAGCAGTGTAGTAGGGTTCCCTTTTCTCCACATTCTCGCCAGCACTTGTTTATTGATTTGCTGATGATTGCCATTCTGACAGGTATGGGATGGTATCTCATTGTTGTTTTGAATTGCATCTCTCAGATGATTAGTGACTGAGCATGTTTTCATATGTCTCTTGGCCTTCTGAATGTCCACTTTGGAGAAGTGATTATTTAGGTCCTTTGCTAATTTTTTTTTATTTGATTGTTTGTCTTTTGTTAAGTTGTATGAGTTCTCTGTATATTTTGGAGATTAACCCCTTATTGGATGTATCATTGGCAAATATGTTCTTTCATGCAGTGGGCTCTCTTGTCATTTTGTTGATGGTTTCTTTCGCTGTGCAGAAGCTTTTTTATTTTGGTGTAGTCCTATTTGTTAGTCCCATTTTATAGATGAAATGAGGACTCAAGGAATAACTGGGATAAAATGATTGGTCTATGCAAGCATGAAAAACCCTGCTGAGAGCAGAAGAGGAAGGGCTTGGACTGAGGTCTGAATCATTCCAGAGTTCACTCTCTCTGCACTGTACAGTATAGTGTCTCCTCTTGTAATTAAATGTTTTCTTTTTAGAAACTGGTTCTAAGGAGACCTAGGCCACAGTTAAAGGAAATTGGAATGAGGGAATTTACAAAGGTGAGAACACAGCAGGGACTTAGGAAGTCATCTTTCCCCACCCTAGACTCCCATAAAGGACTACCCAGTAATTGATGCATCCAAGTGAGAGTCTTCTAAAAGAAGAGTCAGCTTGGGGGTTGGAGAGGAACAAGAAGAGAAATCCCAATGGACAAGACCTTGGGCTCCATTCCAACTTCCTCAGAACTGTTGGACTTTATCTGCTCACATTTATCAAGTACTCACAATGTACTGGGCTTTACACCTGTTCATTTATTGAACCTCCACAGTCCTGGAGATTGACACTGTTGTTATTTTCCAGATCAAATAGCTAGTAAGTGGTGGAGCTGGACTTCAGGTTGAGGCAATTCGATTCTGAGCCTGTGTCCTCAACCCCATGCCACAGTCACTCTGAAATTTCCAAGGATTGGCTGGAGGCTCAAGTATTGCTGCACATGCACAGTTGAAAGGCCATCCACCCCCTCAGTTACTGCCACTGTGCATGCTGGGCATCTCTCATGCTCCTGAGTGAGGAGGTGAAGCAGTGAGGTAGCAGTGAGCATTGCATTTTCTTCTCCTTGAAATGGTTTCCCTTGCTCCTTGCTCTTTAGCCTTGATCAAGCGTGTTGGGAAGGAGGGGGACAAGGAGCATTCACAGGGCTATTGATGAGCCCATTACTCTCCAGCACATTTCTCCAGACTCCTCCACATACTTTGCTATTTGTGTTAGGGGCTTGGGTTATGGGGGTGCCTGATCTCAGTTTTGAGCTCTGTGGGGGGATGCTTTTCTCTAGGCTGAAGTTGGGAAGGGTATAAACATTGATTGCCTGAGTACATAAACCTCGTTATACCCACATCAGGAATGGGATATCTTAAAAGTTATCTGTTTTATTCTCCAGTAATCATGCATTCTAGGAAATTTAGAAGCCAATAGGTGAAGAAAGGTATTTCAGAATGGGAATAGATGAGAGGTAGTGGGAAGTCATGAACAAAGAAGTATGAAGTAAAAAGGGGAGAAAAAGGCAATTCTCTATTCCCACCCACTCGCAAAGGTTATTTCTCTGACACTGATGTTTTTGAGTGACCTGATGCATGTGTGGTTTCATGCAACTCTTCAGAGCCTACCTATTGCTAAAATCATGAAGGGAAAAGGTGTCTGTTTGGCGGGGCAGAGGGGGGTGGTGGTGGTGTGGAAGGGCTCTTAAGCAACAGAGGAACATGGCTGGCTCTGTGGGCTTTGTTAAAATTCTGAAAGCAGATCTAAGCATCTAAATTTATGGGCACATAGTGTGACCTAGGGAGGGAGACTGGTGGCAGCCTAGAAAGTCAAATCTCCAGGCCAGAGAGTCAGAACAGATGACAGGGATCACAGGTGGGCTGTTTCTTTCCCAAGCACAGGCCAAGCAGCATCTCAGGAAGGGAGGAGGGAGGGAACTAGAGAGGGAGGGAGGGAGAGAAGGAAGGAGGGAGGGAGAGAAGGAAGAAGGGAGGGAGCAAGGAAGGAAGGAAGGAAGGAAGGAAGGAAGGAAGGAAGGAAGGAAGGGTTCCTCCCACCAAA